ATGTATTTTTCATGTGAGAATGACATGAACTTTGGGGGCCAGAAGGAAACTGATATGGATGTGTGTCCAATAAAAAAAGTTCAAACGTTGGAAAATTAATTCTCCAATTTTTGTGTGTATGGTATTTGGAGGTGGATCCTTTGGGGAGGTAATTAGAATTAGATGAGGACACGAGGTTAGGACCCCCATGATGGCATTTATGGCTTTATAAGAAGAGGAAAATATTCCTGAGCTAGCATGCTTACTCTGTCTTTCCACATTATGTTGACTCTCTACTATGTTGTGGTGCAGTGAGTTAAGCCCTTATCAGATGCCTCCAGAACCATGAGTCAAATAAACCTCTGTTCTTTAAAAATTTATAATTTTACTTATGATATTCAGCAACAGAAACTAACCAAAACATTGTTCAATAAATTATTGTACCCTGAGTTATATGTTATCTTGATCTTCAAAGAGAGTTGAAGGAGGAAGGAGGAAAGGAAGGGAAGGAGGAGTTATGTCAGAGGGGTATAAGGAGTCACAAATAGTGCCCCAGTTCATGAAATTTTAGCTCAATATTGCCTTCCCAACATAGTTTTACTATGTGCTATTTCTTTCCCTCCATCTCAACTATTAGTAATGAGGGTTAGTAAAAAAAAATGTACCCTGTACATTTTAATAATATAACAATAATAGTTCACTGAAGGATTTCTATTATGTCAGATTTCTGCCTTAGAGATATCTATCCTTGTGAGTCATAAAGACTGTGCAATTCATTACCATAACATTTTATGGATGAGGAAACTGAGGCTGAGAGAAGTGAGTAATTTGTGATTCAACCACTCATTGACACAGAACCAATTTGAATGTACTGAAAAGACTTCTGAACCAATTGTACATAATTATCCACCTATGTTGTCCCTCCTAGCAGAGTGTCTAGAGTGCTGAGAATCTAGGTCCGGGTAGGAGGGTATGAAGCTACTGTAGCAAGTGTATTAGGGAGGATGTTTGGGGCCTTGCCATATTCCAGCATAAAAGTTATGTTGCTTCTGTGCTTCCTTCATTAGCATACAACTTAACCAGTACAAAAGCTCAGATTTTTTTTTATACCAGAAGTTTGTTTTTGAGGTTTGTATAAATATAGTCAAAGAATCATAATGGTTAACTGAAACTCTCAGACATAATATCACAGAGACAATGATGGTTGAGATTATATTAACCTGTATTCAGTTGTCATTTTAAAAATATAGATGGTCAAATAGATTAGCAAATCTGTACCACAAGCACATCAGATAGAGCACTAATCTTTGGGATATACAAAGCACTCAAAAAACTTAACACCAAAAAAAAAATAATAACCCAATCAATTAATGGGCCAAGGAACTGAACAGACACTTCTAAGAAGAAGATATACAACCAATCAACAAACATATGAAAAAATGTTTAACATCTCTAGCAATTAGAGAAATGCAAATCATAATTACTCTAAGATTTCATCTCACTTCAGTCAGAATGGCAGCTATTATGAATACAAACAAGAAGTGTTGACAAGGATATGGGGGAAAAGGCACACTCATACATTGCTGATGGGACTGCAAATTGGTACAACCAATCTGGAAAGCAGTATGGAGATTCCTTGGAAAACTTGGAATGGAACCACCATTTGACCCAGCTATCTCACTCCTCGGTTTATATGGAAGGGACTTAAAAACAGCATACTACAGGGACATAGCCACATTAATGTTTATAGTAGCACAATTCACAATAGCTAAATTGTGGAACCAACCCAGATGCCCTTCAATAGATGAATGTATATGAAAACTTTGATATATATATATATATATATATATATATATATATATATATATATATACACACAATGGAACATTACTCAGCAATAAAAGAAAATAAAATCATGGCATTTGCAGGTAAATGGATGGAGTTGGAGAATATAATGGTAAGTAAAGTAAAAAAACCAAAGGCCAAAAGGCCAAATTTTTTCTTTGATATAAGGATGCTGACTCATAATGGAGATGGGGTTGGGGAAACATGGGAAGAATGGAGGATAGGGCAAAGGGGAGGAGGGGAAGGGGCGGGGGAAGCATATAGGAATGATGGTGGAATGAGTTGGACATCATTACCATAAGTACATGTCTGAAGACACAAATAGTGTTAAAATACTTTGTGTACAACCAGTGACTTGAAAAATTGTGCTCTATATGTATAATATGAAATGAGTTGCATTCTGCCATTGTGTATAACAAATTAGAATGAAGAAATAACTTAATAATAGAAAATAAGCAACCAAATAAATCACTAAATACAAAAAAAGCATGCATATAAAAAGGTGGACCCCGAAAACCTGAAGAGGAAGGTACCACCAAGTGGGCAAGAGAGGGAGGATAAAAAACAATAACTCCTCTGCTCCAGAAAATGATTTTTAAAGTAGAATCAAGTAAATATAAAGGTTGAGTACTGATCTTTCATTGGTATTTCAATAGCTTCATTAGAATTTTTAAAGTTCTCCATATATAGTATACTTTTGATTTGTAACTGTGTGATAATATGCTTTAAATGATGTTTATTATTACTTTAACATTATATCTTTTAAAAGTCATCATTTTCATTCAATTGCTCTTGTTGAATTCAGTAATGTCCATGACCAGTAGGCAACCTTTGTATTCTACTGAACTTTTATCTTATAATGTGGAAATCTATGTTGACCTAGAATGAATGTATTCTAAAATTTTCCTTTTCATTACACTGTGTGTCTGTTTATGTGCTGTGTTACACAAATAATTATCAGCTTATGTTGTCCTGTCCAGAGGAGGGGGAGGAATGTCCTTGTTGGAGGCTGTTTTGTGTGGGAAGAGAACAAGGCTGATGCTTAAAGGCCCTCTGATGGAATCTACTTGAGCCTCATACCAGATTGGGTAGGGCCGGTTATACCTGCCTGATGCTGGTCCAGGAAAGGTACCATTCAAGCAATCTCCAGCTTGGGGATACCATGGATACAAGTTCTGCCTTAGGACTCTGTGTAACTTCGATCTATTCTTTTTTTTAAATTATTAGTTGTTCAAAACATTACATAGCTCTTGACATATCATATTTCATACATTTGATTCAAGTGGGTATGAACTCCCATTTTTACCCCATATACAGATTGCAGAATCACATTGGTTACACATCCACGTGTTTACATATTGCCATACTAGTGTATGTTGTATTCTGCTGCCCTTCCTACCCTCTCCTATCCCCTCTCCCCTCCCCTCCCATCTTCTCTCTCTACCCCATCTACTGTAATTCATTTCTCTCTCTTGGTTTTTTTTTTTCCCTTTCCCCTCTCTTCCTCTTATATGTAATTCTTCTTTTGGAAGCCCAGTTTACAACCTAAAGCATGGAGGCTTAGCTTTGCTACATGAATGTGGACCCAGCTTGGTCAAATCTGACCCTCAACCTTTCCAAAGTTAATTGTTGGATTTGAGAATTACCTTCTCCTATATGCAAGGGAAGACAGAAGGTAGGGAAGAGGAGGAGTAGGGGAAAGAGAAGGAGAGGTGAAGAAGAGGAGAAAGAAGGAAAGAAAAATAAGAGGAAGAAGGGGAAGGAGGAGAGGGAGAAGGAGAAGAAGGAGAAGGAGAGAAAAGAAAGAGAAATATAGGAAAGCAAAAGTCTCTTGACCTTGAAGAGTTTGGATCTCTAATACTAGGAAAATTTGAAGGCATATATTGGGAATGCTTATTTTGTTTCTGGCAGTAAATAAAACCCTCAGGGAAGGCTATTAATTTATCTGGCCTATTTAGTATATTAAATGACACTATTTCATACTCTAGTGACCTGAAAAAGTTAATTTGCCATTTGAATGGCGTGAATGATGAATGCTCACATCAGGTACTGGCACTTTACAATACTCAACAAACATTTAGTACTTTTTGCTTAAGTGTGCCTTATTTTTTTATTAGCATCTATGGGAAAGAAATGGGAACTGTAACATTCTGTAGGGGATAACAGGTCACGTTTTGGATAGGGTACCATTTCAGAATGAGAGATGCCTTAACATAGAGCCCTGATAAAGATGGAGAGAGAGAATATCAGAAAGGAAAAAGGAAGGGAGAAAAATGATTACAAAATCCCTTGGTTTCCTGTGCTTCTTCTGTCCTTTTAATTTAAGGCACAGTGACCTTCTGTGGCCCTTGTATCCCCCTTGGATTTCTTCAATCCCCATGCCTGCCCTCTCTACAGTTCTTTATGAGCTATCATGTGGGGCTAGAATGGAATTTGGAAAATTAAGAGCTGATTTTTATTCTTTTGATATCTTGGTTGCCTGGGGCACTAAAATAATTTGAATTGGTTTTGAAATGAAATGTCACTTATGGAGTAAAATTGTATAATAATTTGCTTAATTTAAACAATGAATTGGGGAGAAAGCAGCAGACATCTGATTTGCATTTTATACATAAAATAATGTTTATCAGATGTTTGGAGGCAATAGATATACAACTTCTGAACTAATGGGGCATGGTTATACTTATTGCTCTTGCAATAGAAACATAGGACATAGCACAGAAACACCTTTATCCTTTGGTTATTTTTGAAAGCAAATATATAAATAATATAAAGAAAATTGTATTCTCCTTTCTGTCCTTGAAAACTGTATGTCTCTGTGTTCCAGAAATTATTTGGTGAACCACCAATGGATCCCACCTTTTCTTCATAACAAAGTATGATAAAGTAGGGAGAGGGCTTGGCAAGCCAGAAGCAAAAAGCATTCTTGTTATTTTCATAGATCCAACAAAAATCAAGAGAATAATACAGTAAATAAATAAGATAAATAAATGCAAATAAAAAGAAAAATAAGCAAAGGTATAAATAAATTGCAAATGAAATTTCTAAAGTAGATTTTGATAAGACAAAATTCTCATAAATTATTAGAAGATAATGCTTACTGCAAACCAAGATACTACTAGCTTTAGGACTATGATAGATAATAATGAGACTTGCAATTGCCTGCATACACTCACAGAGAGGCTTGTTATTGTCAAATGCCTGAGGTTGTTCTCAGTGATCCTTGGCTCTGGTCACTCCATGACACTAGCAACTGAAATGAGGAAAGTTAGAGTTCCCGAACACGTTTCATTTTGTGTCAGCAGGTTTCAAGAGTTGAGGGCTGCGCGCGGGCGGGCGGGGTCAGCGCCTTCCAGTCCTCCACGTGGTCTCTCACATCTCCCTATCTACCTTGTTTACTCCTCCAGGGGGAGGGAAATGAACAGTCAGGTGCGACCCAGCAGGGGGAGTGGGTGAGCTGGCCCGAGGGCYGCCCGAATGTATCCTTGGGTGTGGGTATGGGTGTGGGGCAATTTGGGTGGGAGCATCGTGGCCGCTACCACCAATTTCTGCGCCTTTTTAGTGGGGTGTGTGCAGAAGTGAGGATAAATAGGAGGCTCCCTCCTCTCCCGACACTCACAGAGCCGGCCGGCCGTCCTCCCTGGGTGTTTCCTTGCCCTGTAGCCAGGGTGCCAGCCAGAAGAGTAGTTTCGTTTCCTCCTGGCTCCAGGATTAGTTTCCAAGCACCCTCTCGAGCGCCCGGGTCCCGGGAAGGGGGCGAAGAAGGAGGAGGGAGACTCGTCTAGGGGCTGCCCGGCCCCGCAGAGCGGGGTTGATGGACCGGGCCGCCCCGGGCAGCGGCGCCAGCTCCCTGCCACTGCTCCTGGCCCTTGCCCTGGGTAAGTGGCCACGCTGGGCACTTGAGAGCAGGAGGAAAGACCGGGGCTGGAGTCACGGGGAGGGCGAACCCTGAATCGCGCAGATAATCTGGGCACGAGGGCGCTCTCGGGCTGGCGAGCGCGGGTCAGAGAACTTTGATGACTGAGCGAGGACGAAGTTGAGGATCCGGCAATTGGGCACTTGGGGCTGCACCTGTTGGAGGCTGCCCCTAGGCGTGGAGCGAGGCCCGAAGGCGGAAGGGATCGCGCGGGCCGCGCTGCCGGTGCTATGCTCAGGTTGCCAAAGGGAGCAGTGCACAGAACAGAGGGCTCCACAGTGACCCGAGGGGGTGCCTTAGGGCTCTGGGGACTGAGTGCCCGCGAGTGCGGAATGGTGGGAGGAAAACTCACTAAAGAAGGAGAATAGACGTCTGTACCCCGAAGGGTACCTGCAGGAGAAACTCAGTGACCCAAGATGCTGGCAGGGAGTGTGGAGCAACGTGGTGGAGAGAATTTTTCTCTCTCTCTCTCTCTCTCTCTCTCTCTGTGTGTGTGTGTGTGTGTGTGTGTGTGTGTGTGTGTCCGGCAGTTTGAGAAAGGAAGGGGACGGCTCCTGGAGAAATGGTCATGATCTAAGAATGAATTAATATGCCTTATTTTTGCTGGGGCAGCTGGAAGGAGCCAGGAAAGGCAAAACTCACCTTCGGGGACCTGACTGTTGCTGATAGGCAAGAAAGGAAAGGGAAATGACACATTTTATTGAGGAAACCTTACACTTCACTTGTAAACTGTTATTTTCTATTGTAAAGCGAAATTCTGGGAGGGAAAACTTTTCTTCAGTGTCTTTACTTTAAAGACCACTGGACATGAGTCACCTGGGTGAGGGAAGAGGACAGGTGGAAGGAACAGGTGCCTTGAACTTTCTGGAGCCATCCCTATGACCTTGGAAGTCTGTACTTAGGATGGAGAGCTGGAACTTCAAATGACTGGAAGTAAGGCTCTCCTTGCCTCCAGAGTAGGAGGGGAGCAGGAAGTCATTTAGGTGGGAAAAGTCCACCTCCTGGAAACACCCTCTTGCATTGTGGTTATTTTGGATGTCAGAAGGAAAGGGACCCTAGTGATAGTTTCTAGTCTTAACTGGGCATCTTGGATGGCACATGGGGAGGTCTCCCTAGCCTAAACATTGTCATGGTATCACTCCTATCTTCAACCCTGGAAACACATGTGAATAAAGGGGTGGAATTTTTTTCTTATGGAGGAAAAATAAATGGAATCTAAATGAATGTTTTCATTTTGCTGTGTCCTTGGAGTGAGAAAGCGGGTAATGTAACTTGGTTGCAGGTGGATCAGACATAGATTCATGGTTAGAAAGAAGGGWTGGATTTAACAAATCCTGCAGAGGGAGGAGTCAGTATTAGTGTAGTGAAGAGTAATGAGGAGCATCAAGAAGAGTGATGCACTTGAGATTTAGGACTTTTGCCAGGATCACTGGGATGTAGGTGGCATCATACTCCTTTGCCTTGTCTGCACAGTCCGGCAATCTAGGTACTCAGTATCTGCTGTAGTCAGCAAGAAGTTGAAGTATGTAGGAATGGGAGGGGGGCGGGTGGTGAAAAGAGTATTTGAGAGATTCCTAAACCATAATTCTTGCCACCAAAAGAACATTGGGAAATGCAAGACTGCCAATATGAAACAATTAGAGAAACACTTAGGAAACCAAAGAAGGGAGAGCTCAGTAGTGAGGAAAGGAATAGTGGGGAGAAACTGTTTAAGGGACCTGAGTAGGTAATGGAAGCTTGGGTAGGATTTCAAATAGCAGAGAAGAAAGTGAGAAATAGATAAGGGAAAAAGCACTTAGTAAAGGTTGATRATGGGATTGAGAATGTTCTACTGGAAAGACAAGCAACAGCTTGTCAGACAGAATTTATAAAATGCAGACAGATTATGACGAATTGAAAAAAAGACTGTAAAATATTTGGACACGAATCAATTAGTAGTAAAATGCACACTATCACAATGCTTGGATGAAGGAGGTATGTGGCGTGAACAATGATTTACAGGAGATGAATGAATCTGACAGTAGTGTGCACTGTGGGAAGAGGGGAGGAAAACTGCAGATCAGAGGGTCTGATTGTTTCATAGGTATGATCCAGGCATGAGCTAATTAGAACTCAAATTAGGGTGCTGGGCCAAGAGAAATGCCAGGGTAGAAATAACTGTTGAGTGTTGATGGACATTCTCCCCCACTTTACTGTCATACTGTGCTTTAACTTCTTTTTTAAAAACTTGTCAAAAGGCAGAATTGTACAGACTTTTATACACTCAGGGTAACAGAAATGTACAACCACCTTCAGAATGATTGACTTAGGAAATTGAATTCTGAGTCTGCATCCCCTAAGAGCTCTCTCTCTTTTTTTGCAAAATGCCAAAGGATATAATTTGTTGGCATCACTGTTTCCATTAAGCATTCCTATTTCTATCATACACACTTTACTTTTAAGTTCCATTCCTAATTTAAGGGACATGTTATTTTATTTACTTTTTGAAAAGAATGTGAGAAATGTGTTGGGGGAGGTGGACAGTGGAAAGAACAGAGAGCTGGCATTGAGCAGACATGAGACCTGGTCCTTGCTCTGCCATTCTGTGACTAAGAGATCTGTAAGTCACAACTTTCTGGCATTGTTTTCTTCATTTGTAGAATGAAGGGGTTTCATCAGATGACTATACACTTTCCTTTCTCATATGCTTTAAAAAAGTAAAATAACTTGTGACAAACTATGGATGACTGATATGTATTATAAATGCAGATGCTCCTTAAATACACCTGGGACTTAGCAGATGGATTTAGACAGGGGAGTTTTTATTATAACATATGAAAATGATAGACTATTCCCTTTGGGAAATTTTATGAACAGAAAAGTAAGGTGATATAGAAAAGAGTCATACCTAGGAAAACTGAATTAATAGGGTATATATAAATTTAACATAGATATAAATTTTCTATTTATATATGTAATAATGTATATACTTATATATGTAGATATGTACATATTTTTATATGTAATTAAATTCTTTGTACATATTAATTGATTACATTTTACTAAAGCTAAAGGAATTTTCATAGTCAGTAGAAATCTTGAACAACTTAATTTTTCTATAAATAGAATTTCCAAAAAAACCCCTTCCATTTCTCAACTGTATTCTCTTATTTGCTAACAAATCCATTTATTAATAGGATACCAATTCCAGTGATTCAGAAGAAACTGTTGAAAAAGAGATATTGAATACTCTGTTTTCAGCTTTGTTATTGTGTATGAGAAATAATCCCATTAAGATTATTTTCATTCTAAGCATTATGGGTGATGGGCAATAGCCTTAATTTGTAACTGGTTATGATTCCTTAGATGACGAAGATGCCAATCTATAACTTCTTCCTTGCCAAAAGAGGGGAACACCCTGTAGTGACTTCATTCTGAGCCATATTTGCATTTGCTTGCTTTTTCAAGACATGCCACGAAAATTGGAGTCTGGTTCCAGTAACTCTTACATTTTGTCTGTGAGGGCAGTTTCTGTGTTTTTAAAGTTAGGGTTAATATTGGATGATTTGAATCGCAAATTATCACAAAACATCCTGTCTAAACAATGACGGGGATTACCTTCCCAGGCCAGTTCATATAAAACTTTGAATTAAAAGGGTACTTAAAAGATAGAACTAATTGGAATAATCTTATATTAAAGTCTGTAGTAAGCATTAAGTTCGCAGAGATGTGACTGGTTTTATTATTATATCTTCATAGCAATGGATTTCTCTTCATCTGCAAGGCCTTTAGAGTTCTCTCTCTCTCTCTCTCTCTCTCTCTCTCTCTCTCTCTCTCTCTTGAATACATTTGCATTAAAAAGTCATCTTGCAATTCAGGGCATTTATTTCTCAAAAAGGGATTGCAGTGGTTTAGACCTGCAATGTCCCCTAAAGGCTCATGTGCTTAAGGTTCCAACCACAATGAAGTGGTCTCCAGAGGTAAAGGTTTTAGGAAATGATTGGACCACAAGGGCTCTAATCTCATCAGTGGATGAATTCATTTTATGGATTATTAATTTGAATAGATTCTTAGAAGGTAGAACCTAGTTGGAGGAAGAGGTCCCTGGAGGTTTGCCCTGGAAATGTTCATCTTGTTCCTGGCCCCTTCCTCTCTGTCTTGTGTGACTGCTTCCTGGCTGCCATGAGCTGAGCATCTTTCCTCTTCCATGACCTTCCCCCAAGACGTTCTGTCTCACCTCAGGACCAAAGCAATGAAGCCAGCTAGTCATGGACTGAAATCATGAGCCAAAATAAACTTTTCCTCCTTTAAGTTGTTTATGTCAGGTGTTTTGGTCACAGAGATAAAAAGCTGACTAACATCAGGGACAAAAGCAAGAATCTTTTGTGGAGGAGTATAGGTTTTGACTTATACCTCTAAGATTTGCAAGTCAGACACTGAAGTGGCAAGTATTTAATACCACCATTCATTTATATAAGTTAAGTTATTATTAAGTTACCTATTTAGACAATTGTAGAATGCTTCAAATGGAGTGGTCCCCAATGTCCTTTAAATGAGCAACTTTCCATGTTTCTATGGAAAACTTAATGCACAACCAAGTTGTGGAGTGCTAAAGGTTTATAGTGATTCAAACATCATACAGTGAGTTGATTTCCTCATTCGTTTATACTGTCCCTACAGCTAAACTCACCTTGTGTGTAATAATAACAGTCAGTCATGCTTTTAGTTTTTGCCACATACCAGGTGTGGATCCTTTTTGGCTTTCTCAGTCTGGATTCCACAAGAGTTTTTTTTTTTTTTTT